AAACTGAAGTAAATATGGATTTAGAATAGTAGTTATATTTTAATAACCAAAATACGGAAACCCGATATCCAGATTGAACATTCGTATTCTAGATGAAACCGAACTTTTGTTTCATTTTCCAAAACATAATAAAAAAATAGTTTCATCCCGCGCAAGGCGCGGGTCTTATCCTAGTTATATGTATTAGAAGGTAATCAAGTGACTAGATTTCATATATATACTTTTAAGATTTATGCTTATGAGTTATGATTGATATATTATATATTCCATGGAAAGAAATCAATAACTGAAACGAATAAATACTTCTTTTTTTCTATCAACAAGCACATGGCGAAATGTAAGTTTCAACCGGTGTATGATGGTTAGTAGCATAAGCTGCATAACACGTCACATGGTAGCTAAAAGTCTTGTTTTATTAGGATGGCTGGAACAAATTAAGTATAGCTAAAATTTGAAGAAAAAACATTTTTTTAAAGATTCTTACGTAAGCCAAATTCAAACCGAGTCTGAATAAAAAATTATAAAATGTCGACCTAAGACTAATGATCCAATTATGGAAAAAAAGACTAATGATCCAATGGGAAAATGATTGAAAAAATAATAAAACAATACACCAATTAACACACACTTTATGCGGCTTTCTTCTTACTTCATATACTTAGTTTTTAGGGAAATTAGGCTCTATGACTAAAAAAAACATATTTCATTCTCTACCCAAAAGCTCTTCCATACATCGATACAATGTTTATATTACATATAATTCATCTTCTATCCCTCCACGCAACCGGCAAAACCTGTAATAAAAAATAAAATAAAATAATAACATAAGTTTGGGAAAGAAACGCATGGACAACAGAGAATCACATCCTCTCACAATAACTTCTTTCTTCGTAACTTTTGGAGAAGGTGACAAGTTTTTGGCCGAGATTTTGTGCAACCGTGACATCTCATCTGAGAGATTCGGCAGTTTCTGACTTTCCGGCAAACCAGATTTCCCGGCCTCTGTTTTCTTTTACGTTATCATATCTGATTCTCGAAGAAACGGCGGCGAAATCGACGAATGAGCTGGATCCGCGATTTCCAAAGAAGAGTTGTCAATCGAACTTACATAATCTTTGAACCAAACTTCACCCCCTCCGGCCTCAGGTAAGTTCCGATGCCGATTCATTTTCTTACCAATAAAATTACATGTTTTACTTCTTCTTTTCGACCAGATGTCCTCTTGTTTGTACTTTCCTAGTGCGATTTGAAGAGCATTCTCGGGTGGTAGAATGGTGTTGGGACTATGGAAACTGTCGATCTCCAACTTGAAGGTGGGCGGGAGTGCTTGAATCGGGAGGAGTAGATTCTCTTACCTGTGGTTCTCTGCTAGTGGATACTTCTCTCTAGCAGTGCAACGGGTGTTGGCGGATTGTCTCATTTCGGATTTAATATTCTAGTATATAAATCAGGGTTTATTCTATTTGGATTTATTATTCTTATCAGATTTACTATTCTATTATTGTGCATGTTATTCTTCTTTGATTTTGTGTTATTCAGATTTGAATTGTTATCAGGGTTTCAATTTTAAAAGGGTTATTATTTGCATTCATTATCGCTTCTTGTTACCATTGTCTTCTTCCGGGTTTCGTAATATTTTTCCCCATGTACGTCTACTATTGTTTTCCATAGTTGTGTTGGCGATGCAACCTAGTTGATTATTGTTTACGTTTCCACTCTCCCCTAACCGTGTGGTTTGTTGTGGTAGATCTTCTGTAGTTAAAGTATATTAATTTCCTCTTGCCTAATTATACATTGTTCTATTTTATGGGAGATGTTCTATTCTATGTACATGTTTTCTATACTATTTTCAACTAGATACGCCATTTGATGTTCGTTCTATAGTAGTATCATTCAACGATGACTCTTGTTTCCATTTTATTCTTCAGTGACATGGTTTATTCTATTTCGTATTACATATGGCTTACTCTATTTTAGATTTATAACACCTATCGGAGATGGATACATATGATTCGCCGGTTTGGAAATCAAAAGGCGCGACACCGGCTTATCACCTCCGTGAATAACTCTTCCTAATTCGAGATTCGTTTGTGACTGAAGAAAGAACTTGAACACATGTAAGGTCCGATCTCAGAGCTGGTAATTGTACTGCTACGTTTGTTTTTTCTGTAGAATGTGAGATTCAATATTTGGGGATGCATTACCCCGAATGTTGGAGGACCTCCTGTTTGTTTGGTTGTTTCTATTCCATTTCTAGGTCATTCCATATGAGTGAGTCTGTAAATGGAATAGACTTGTAAATATGGACTAATGTATAAGTATGTGGATCTATTTATAATTGGAAATCCTATGTCTCATCACTTACATACTATTTTCATATTTGGATATTTGGGTTTGGGCTTATATTTCCGTTGGTTTTAGTGATTGTGCTCTAGGTATAGTTTATAGAAGGTTTGGATTGACATTGGAGTAAGCATTACATAATTCTATGCAATCATATACATTTCAAAATTTGAACAATATGTATGATGCTATTTAATTTTTTCTTATTCTATTACAAAGGGGTTGTTCTATACTATTTTGATTACATAGAATGGGAGCTTTGGTTGGGTTTAGATTTATTGATTAAGTTAGAGTTTATATTTGGATTAAGGGTTTATTGACCATAATTTAGAGTCTAGTAATTAGGAGTTGGGATTGAGGTTGGGATATGGCTTAATACTTAAGGTTTGAGAGTAGAATTATAATCTTGTACTATTGTGATGATATAGAATATAAAAATTAGTTACTATGTCATTTATTTAAAGTGTTATATTCTTTATCTATATATTTATTGCACATGGTGACACAATTTATGTGGTAAATAAACCTGTGACATTAGATTTATTGAGTAAAATCAGAGTGATGTTGTTTTTTTTTTCGTTACGTATGAACAGTTCATAAAAGTTGTGGGCCAAGTAAGTTGATCTCAACGTCATCTCCTTATTAGTTTTTCACCGGTAAATGGAAGCAACAAAGGGTAAAACTGGAGTAAATCAACACTAAATGTTACCAACTCAATTACGTCAAAACCAATGTCACCCTCTTAATTATACTTAAGATTTTAGCCATTTCACAAATTCTCCCTAGTTTTTATATTGTTCTCTACGACTTGGACTCAAGCGTTAGAGTATCATTATTCTAAAGATCTATTTAGTATCTCTTAATTATTTTTAATACTTTAAATAATAAATATGAGTTAAGAGATTTATTTAAGAGAACCTAACATTTATGTGCTCTAATGCAAGTCTTTTAATTAATTTTTTTTAAATACTAATTAAATATTTTTAACAAACTTAAAACTTATTCATTAAATAAAACATATTAAAAGATAACATTTTAAACATATATTTCTTTAAAAAAAAAACATAAAAACAAATATTTGTAAAATAAATGAGAATAATTTGAAAGAAACATCCGAGCTCAGTTGTTGTCTTCATCACATTTAAATTTACACCATATATGTTCAACCAAATCATCTTTCAGTTATTGATGCATTTGTCTATCACGAATTCTCGTTTGAAAGAAGCATCCAAGCTCAGTTGTTTTCTTTATCACGTCCAAATTTACACCATATATGTTCAACCAAATCATCTTTCAGTTATTGATGCATTTGTCTATCACGAATTCTTGTTTGAACATCCATCATATTAGTGATATTTGTACGGATATATGTATAATACGTGAGATTGACATGTGAACTTCCGTTGTCTTCTTCGTGTTGGAACTCCGAAAACATCAAATTTAGTGTACCTTTCTCGTTCGTCTTCTACTATCATATTATGGAGTATGATACATGCTCTCATAATCTTCCTAATTTTGACTTTATCCCAAAACAATGCTGGATTTTTAACAAAGGCAAAGCGATCTTGCAAGACTCCAAAAGCGCACTTGACATCTTTTCGGACAACATCTCGACGTTGAGCAAATAAAACTACTTTCCGGCCTTGTGGTATTGGAATAAATTGGAGAAAAGTTTCCCATTTCGGATAAATACTGTCGGTGAGATAGTAAGCCATATGATACTCTCTTCCATTGACAGAGAAAGTGACTTGAGGAGCTATGTCATCAAAAACAGGTGAGCAATCAAGAACATTGATAGCATTTAAGGTACTTGGAGGTCCAAAATATGCATGCCATATCCAGAGATCATACGAAGCAATCGCCTCTAAAACGATTGTTGGTTTACCCGAACCACGAGAATATTGCACTTTCCAAGCGGTGGAACAATTCTTCCACTCCCAATGCATATAGTCGATACTTCCTATCATCCCGGGAAATCCACGATGCTCTCCAATATCAAGTAGACGTTGAAGGTCAGCCGGTTTGTCTTCTTAGGTACTCATCAACGAATACATATATTATTCCTCACAAAATTTTGCACACATAACCGAGTTTTTGTTTCACCGAGCCGGAGGTATTTGTCGACCGTATCAGCCATAAAGCTATATGCCAAGACACGAATGGCTGCAATACACTTTTAAAGGGGAGAGGGACTAATCCTTCCGAGACCATCTTTCTTTTGGCGAAAGAATTGAACTTCGTTAGAGAGTCGATCAATAATGTGCATGAACAAATGTATCATCAATTGATCCTTCCAAAAATGGGTTGAGAATAATATGCCATATTTGTGATCCAGACAAGATTTTTTTTTTTTTTTGAATGTGCATAAAATTGGTGATCAAACGATGATATATTTTTGGTGAGAAAGAGATAATATGACTGTGATCACAGGGTTATCTTTCTTTGGTGAGAAGGTGTGCATAAAATTTGTGAACAAACGATGAGAAGGAAGGAGAGAATATGAGTATGTGAAAAAATGTCTACACAAGATTACTTTATATAGAGAATATGAGTTTGTAAAACATTGTCTATGTGACTTGATACTGAATATACACAACACTACAAGACTCATGACACAAGAGTACAAGACACAAGACTACAAGACTCGTGACACAAGACTACAAGACTCCGTGATCAAACTCTTTGACACTACAAGGCTCCACGATATTGATGCTACAAGGCTCCACGACATTGACATTACAAGGCTCCACTCTCAGACACTACAAGGCTCCACGACAAGACCACAATTAAGTCACAGTATAAAACAGTACAATTTTTTCATTAACTTGTAGTGGACACTACAAGGCTCCAGTGAGATATGAAAGTGAAACAGTAAATGCATACATACCCTCATACGGTCGGAGAAAATGAAAGGGGTGATGAGCTTAAACATGGGTGCCTCGGTGAGAAGCTTGTCGTAAGTAGCCTGATCAAACAACACCATGTTGTTCACCCCGTCCTTTTGCTTTCCCTTGCTCCATTTCTGTTATTTTTT